AGAAGAACTATTTTAAGAGCATATAATAAGCAAATGCTTAGGGCAGCAACAGGAAAAAGTGATATGTCTACCAGCACAGCAGAACAGTCCAAACATTCCTACGCTGTTCTCTGCTGGAAAGGTTTCTCATCTGTAGGAGATTTTTTTTTTTTTATTTTGGGGCTATATTTGATATAAGATTACATTTTAATCATCTATGGTCTGCGCACTGATGAAGTGCCTTGACATTTAGAACAAAGGTTTTATTTCTCTAACGTGTTCCAATAGCATCTATCATTGTACGTCTAGGATAAAGAAAACAACTACAATGTATTTCAAGAGAGTTGGATACTCATGTAATTGTAAGCAAAGGTATCTGGCAAATTATAAAACCAAATATCCCAGTGTTTCTCCAGGTGATGAAACAGAAAGGGACTGATTGGGATTTCAGTTTTTTCTTTAATCTGTTTTGCCTTTTATTGGCTAAGTGAAGCAAACAGACATTATAGAATAAGGTAAACTTTCACACCGAGGCATCAGATCAAACATTTACTGATTTGAGGAGGTGAACTGAAAGGAGAAATACCTTTACTAACTGTAAGCGTTGGACTACAGTAAAAAAATTCTAAGCCTAAGCAGTGGAGGCTTTTCCTCACCAACCTGGACCCACTGCAGTTTGTGGACTACAGATACAACTATTCCATTTACCTCTGTCCTCTAGAGCCATGATGAATTCTGCCTCTGCTGCACTTTGCAGATCATCTCTAAAGCAAAGTCTAATTAGAAGGACACTGTAACAGGTAACTCTGGATATCATTTAAGCGCTGTGTTACACTAAGAACTTAAAGAGTCTCAAATAAACAGCATCCCAGCTGTAAATCAAGGTGTACTTTTTTTTCTTAATGAAAGATTTAATTTATTTGCTATCATTTAATAATGTCCAAAGCAGACCACTAAGGCAGACTATTCTTTTTATGAAATACCACAAAGGTAATTTTAAAACATTCGAGCAACATGCTGCCCTTTACTGACCTGAGCAGTTGGCTGAAGCTCAAGGTCTTGCTGATTGCTTTGGTCAGGAGCAGAAATCAATGGAAGAGCTGTCTGCTTTAGACATAATCATCAACGTGCATTGTATTACCTCAAATGGTTTCTCTCAAGCACAGAAGTACTTTAACACAGACTCAGAGAGAAAGAGAAAGGAGAGAAGGTAGCAGAGCAACACATCTTAAAGAGTAAGTTACTAGCAAGCAGACTTTCTACCTTCTTCATTTGTTTGTGCGTATATATATTCACATGCGTAAGTTCAAGCATCACTTTTTTCTCTACATGAGAAAAGAGAAGGCCAAAACATGACATCATGAGGAAGAGGTGGTTCTCTGTCTCACGCTTTCAGGTTTACCATCCTGCAGCCAGCTAGGTTGCTGGATGGGGAGAGCACTGGTTTACAGCAGTTGTTAACTTGTCCAGGTGATCGTGTTCCTCTTGACTGAGAACAGTGACAGAGTTACAGACTACTGACAGGGTTGGCAAGAAAGGTGAGGATAACACAGGGTCTGCCTCTGTACTTTCAACTGACAAATTCCTTGTGAGCGACCCAGCCTGTAGAACTGTTGAACCATGGTGAATGCTCAGGTCACTAAGGCAGTCTGGTCCTTCAACAGCATCTCCTCATGGAGACAAGCAGAATCTCTGCATAGCGATGACTGTGGTCAAAAGCCTGCTCACTGCATTTGGGCCAGCTGCATTTTATGTTGTCTATAGGAGCACCAGGAAGACAGAAATAGGCTCCATAAACAGAGCATTAATTTATTTTTGTAGAAGAGGAGGTAAAATTTATAACCGGCCATCGTACTCAGAGATAAACAAAAACCAAATAGATTACTACTCTTAATGTTAAAAGAAAGTAAGTTCAATAACTGTCTCCAGATGCTTCTTTCCTCCATCACTGAAGAAGACATGACTGTTTACACTCTTAAATTTTCCAAAGTAGGAAAAATTTTTAGGAAATTGGCAGATATCTCTAACATTTGGCCAACTGTTCTTTCTGCCATTAAAAATTGTCAAAACAGACAAAATTCAGGGGAATTATATCTCAAATATTGTCAGCAGGTTGTCTAGTGGGTGAACAAACAGCATGTTCAGAGACCCTTTAACATGGCTCAACAACAGCTAGCTCCAGTCAACAATGGAATTTCTGTGTTGGCAGTGTTGCTGTGTTGTCCGTTTAACTATTTGGATCAGCGCTTGCTTAAGATCTTCGCACTTCACATACTGTGGGGTCATTGAATTTTCCTCCTCCTTTCGGTTATACTCTCACAGTATATTCTTGTAGCTTACTTTTACAAATATCCTGAATAATGCATATTTTTAACCATGCTATCCCAACTTTTCATCATCCCAGATAACTGGGATGCATCAAGAAAATGATAACACAGAAATGAAAGTCGACTGACTTCTCCATACTCTACTGAGGTTAAGCACTCGATCAGAATGATGCTCAGTGACTTATGCTGAAAATAACTGCTAATTTACCTATTCAGCTGATGTGGATTGCTTCCAGACCTATCTAGCCCCCAGTAGAAGGCAGGACCTGATAATAAATGCATGACTTCGCCAAATCAGAACAAACGGGGAAGCGCAGACAGACCATCAACTTACTTTATTTGTGATACCTGTGATTCCAGAAGCTGAAATCACAGCATAGTACACAGGATCTCACCCCAGCCACATGACATGTGAGCTCTGTTTTCTCCTCCGACACCATGTGTTACAGTTCCTGTGATTACTGACCTTCTGACAATTGAGATTAGGAGCAAGGTTTCTTCTGTGACAAAGATTCAGAGCTTCCCATGTCAAGTTCTGTCACCAGAAGTTACAGTGAACACTGACAGGAGACTGCCTAAGCATATGGGCATGCCCCTTTGTCTTGACTGATAGCACTGAAAACCCCTGAATGCACCAAGAAGTGTGCTAGGCATTAAGGTCAACAATGTCTCTATTGTGTAGCAGTAACACACAGAGCAAGATAATCAGCCGTGTTTTAAGAGTACTGCCATCGCCCCCAGAGATGGTCTGAATCAGTCCAACATGATTTGCAGAGTAGAAAATCTGAGTGAGAAAAAACATTGCACCTCCAAGGGAAACATGAATGTGAAACAGAAACTTACTTTAAATTGGAAACATTCACATGTATGCACACATACATCTAAAACAAGGCTGAATTACAGTAACTGTCAGCTACTGCTGCTGAACAGGTATTGACTAGGAAGCTTCCATTCCAGTTCATGCCTTACTTTTCTTGCAGGATTATCTGTGTTACTTTCTTACTGAAAGCAGCAAAATCGTCACTTCCATCGAAGCACTGAAAAACTAATGCAGTTTCTTGGCACTGAGTCACATATAAGCAGGCAAACTGATAGAAAAGCAGATGAATCCCCAACTCAAGCAGATGAATCTCCAGCTCTTAGCTAGCCCAAAAGACATTCCCCCTCTCTTTCATGTAGGTAACTGGGCTACTTCCAGCCTTTTATTGGATTTGCTTGAACTGGCTCCAATTACAAAACTCATCTTGTTCTTTCTCCACAAAGATAAAAGCCACACTCTCCTGGCAACTTAATTGTAAACAGTTTTGAGGTATAAGAATGAGCTCTAACAGAGAATGCATAGGTGCAGCTGAAGCTTTAAATAGACAAAATGTAAATACAGTGAATCTGATTAATTAGAGCAGTCTGGGGGAGAATTTTAGTGTGCCCTTTGGCATAAAACGTGTCCAGTTTAACTCAAAATTCAGTGTGAAGATTTTTTTCTCTTTGACAGAAGCACCCAGGTGTAGCACCGCAATTAGTTCCAACACCACAGCTGTGTGGACAAAAGGTGCCTGAACAGGGGTATCTATACAATGAGTTCATTTTTCCTCTCACATTTGTTTTGCACTGCTTTAATTCTGTTATGTTCCATGCAGTTTTGTTTTGTTACTTAATATTCTAAAATCAGCTCACCTTCAGAGAAGGTTACAAATTTCTCCAAGCTACCCCTGATGGCTTCTTTGTACAAGGAAAACACACCAAACAAATATGCACAATTCAGCATTCAGATTATATGAGAAATAAAATATGCAAAATAAATTCTGTCACTTGCAGCTGACCTAATGTTCTGAAGCTAAAAGGATTTATATTTGTACTTAATTTCAAATACGTGAATAATCCCATCATAACATGAAATGTACTGTGGGAATAGGAAGTGATGGTTATGTCTGTTTCACATACCATGCGTTATGAAAATATGGGTTTTGTCTATGGGACAAGCGTGGGCAAATTATAATTTCACATTTTATGTTAAATAATAATTTTCATTTTAGAAAAATCTGCTTCTTTTTTGTAATACATAAAATGGCAACTGGCCCTGTTAACATCTCAGGAATACCTATCCGTTTACAGCTTCTCCCAGCTGGAAATCCTCATTAGGTGATTAACATCCATAACATAGGAGTCATTGCTACAACACGATTTTATGATATGTTTTGCAGACTAGTCCATATCCTTTGGCTATAATAAACATCAAAAACGTCAGTCTGCCACCTAAGCAGCTTGAAAGCTGAACTTTTTCTGCTTGTCAAGGCTGGGACCTGCAGGGAAAGCCAGGAGAATTCAGTCCATTCTAAACTTTTTAATTTCTCCCTTAGGCTTTTGGAGGACTCAACAAAAGAATGCTCAAGGCAAGCTACTACTCTTGACTGACTCTGCTTTACCACGTAAACATATCTGAGACAGTACAGCTCATCCCTATCCCTCCAAACATGACTTCAATATATAAGTGCACATCTACAAACTGCAACTATATGAATTAAATGCCATAATACTTAGACTAGTAAAATAAAAACATGTATTATGAAAAACAATTTTACAATGAGATAAGCAATACTCTAAAAACACTCAGATTCTCCTAATGGAATTTCAAGACTGTGAATATGGAGAACATGGGTTAAAAAAAGACGAGTCTCATTGTCCATCAGCACTCACCATTCAGCCACTTGGAGTTGTACTGGGCAGTGCGGAGAGGAGGAAGGGCCCCCAGACTGCGATAAATGGCAGGATCCCTTCCTGGAAAATCCATGGCTGTAGCAGCATATAATTCCCCACTGGAAGTGAGAAGAGCAGTGGAGTTGTGCTGAGGACTGTAAGGACAACGAGCCATGCCACTGATTTGATCATGTATCTCTGTCAAGTTGCTTAACTGTAAAAGAGTGAGAAAAAGGGATTGAAATGACCTGAAAATTATCATTTCAGCCAAGCTGCATCAATCTGAGCAAAATCCTGTAATAAATACCAGTTACCTGCTTTGGTACTGTACAACAGTAATGAGCTGATCTTTACATTAATCTCAAACTGTCTCACAAAGACAGTTTTACTGTAACGTTGTCTGCTCTCGCTTTTGCCACTTTGGTATGTAAAACATGCAAGTTAATCATCAGCCACCATGCCAAAAATGTGTTGTATTAGAAGCATCTCAAAAAATCTCTACACAGATCATTATTATGAAAACAGATCTGATCCCCAGAATCAACTAAGGTATTCACCATAGCAAATAGTCATGGAAAAAAAAAAAATCTATTATTTGTTTTGTTCGTGTGTTCTAGGAAAGAATCTCACATGAAAAATGAGATTAAAAAAAGGGAGCTTTCCAGTTCAGCAGAACTATTTATCTGATTTAGTAGCCCTAATACTTTCAGCCATAAACCACAGTATGATGTTAATATGTTATGTGAAAATAAGGTACAATAGGTTTAAATATTATAAATGTGTCATGGAGTTTTCTGGTGATACAGCTATTCTTTGTATTTAAACACCTCTCCTCTCCTGAAATACATAGCCAGCTTAGTCCAAACAGTGACATTTTGATTTTTATTATGACTATTATTGATCCTTAATGGATCCTCTCCCTCTGAGACACATAAATTACAGCTAGGGTTTTTTCTTAGAAACAGAATGACAGATTTTCTCAACCAAGACATCTCATTCTCGCCAGTCAGAAATCACTAATACAGGTACTCTCATCTTCTCCAGAACTACACATACACGGTACGCAGCTACCCAGCTACATTTTATAACTAAACCAGTTGATGCCAGCCAAACTTGACAGAGTGGCATGCTCTGCCTTTTATTCTGCTGGCTCAGCACAGGGACTTGAGCTTGTGGGATGAAACATTGAACTCATACCGTCCGATTGGTGCAGATAGGAGTGAACGCGTTGGTTCCACAGGTAAAGAGATGGTTGCCTCCAACAAGGAGCACTCGAATGTAGTTCTGGCATTCCTCCTGCCATGCAGAAAAGAAAGACTATATTCAGTGATACTTCAAAGGACAGGGGGGACTACTTACGATTTGCTTTCCATGGTTATGTGTCCACACACAGAAATTTAAGGGAACAAGGCTTAGGCATATCTGATGTGTTAGCAATCATGATATACATAGAATTCCTAACTACAACACATGCATCCATCAGTCTTTGCTAGAAGTTATTGATTGGAGAACAATAAAGCTTTTCAGTACAGAAGATTTCTTCTAAGTGTATATTTCAAAGGTTTAACTAGACTCTGAAGTGACAGATGCTGACTGAAATAATACACTGCTGTCTCAAGAGATCAGATGCCAATTTTGAAGACAGATCAGGCCAAGGGAGGAAGTTGGGAAGAAAACAGGAGAAAGAACAGGTTGTTAGTAACACAAGTATGTTGAAAACAGTACAGATAGAATTCTTGAGATGTTCAGATGTAGATTTGTCGCTACTAGTTTCATAATTTGTACAATATTTTTTATTAGACGCATCTACTTTTCTGTTAATTTGAAGTTTCTCAAGAAATTTCATTACCTCAGTGCATAGATGCTCACCCCTGAGGAATAATTTTACATGTATTTTACTCCATTACAATGTGTGAAGGCTTTATGATGTTCTTTTCTCTCACTTCAGAAGCTAGAAACCAACAGCAATTTCTACTGTTTATTCAGACAGAAAGTCTTCCTACAATACGAAAAATTCCCTGGAATTGTATGTAGGAAAGATTCAAACACTCCTCCTGCAAAAATCTATGTCCCTATCTAATAAAATTAACAAAGACAACAACATGCTTGGAGAAAATAAAGTTTCCTAGAATGTTCCATTTGAATGCTCTCTAGCATTCAGTCACAAGTTAATCTCATATAAAGCATTAAAAAAACTGTGAAAATACAGCCATGTAATTCTAACTGATATTAAGTGGAATCTTGTAAGTAAATTCATGTAACAGTAATGGTGCAGAAGTCCCACAATCTGGCTTGCAGTTATAGTAAATATATTGCTTATTTATCTTGAAAATAGACTCTCATCCTGGAAGACAAGAAATATAATCCTGGACAAATTGAACAGGCACAAAACAGACTGCAAAAAAAGATGGGTAAACTACTTAATCTCTGAGAAAAATATCATAATATATTATCTATACTTTTCCTCCTACAGAATAAAATTAAAAAAACCTCACACCACATCCCTCCATAAAATCTCAGAAAAAAACACCTCTTTAACAAAGTAACCTCCAGAAGTATATTTGCATCTGTCTGTCACGAAAATGTAGCTTTTAAACAGTTCTCTTTGAGCCTTTAAAGGTAAATGTCAAACATCTTAGAATTAAGATTCAATTCCCAATGGGTTAAAGTACGTTCTTATCTTGAATTTAGCAAAACTATTCTTTCAACCTAGCAGAAGCTAATACGCAACCATATAACAGAGTTGGGCCGTGCAAAAAAAAAAAAAAAAAAAAAGGAAAAACCTCCTTTTTTTTGTGGGAAGGGTGCTCAGGAAGGGTTACAGAATATAACACAGTAATTTATTCATCAGGCTGTTTCCATCCTGCCCTTTGCAGCAAGCCATGGAATGTAAGTGTAGGAAAAATAAGTGGGTACTGACATTACAACCCATCCAACCTCTCCTCTTCATATTCCAGAGCTCCCTGAAATAGTGCCATTGCCTAATTACTTGCACGCTGATCACCCACTCTTTCTGTTCAAAAATAATGTTCATTTTTTAAACTCTAACATTCCTGTGATTCACAAGATTCTTCTCTTTAATGGTGCCAATTCCTGTGCCAACTTCACAACAATCCATACTGCAACAGGGCAAATAAGATATCTCCTACCAAATTTTTGTTTGGTACATAGCACAACAAAATCAAAACCGGAAGAACATCTTTTACAATTGGCTGTTTCCTTCACATCACAAATTCACAATATACAAAACCAACTAAAAAAAATTAGTCATGAAAAAAACAATCACCACCCAAAAACATATTGAAAAAGGTTATTTAGTCATTTGCATTGTTCAGAGTCACTTCTCTAGCTCAGCTGGTTCATTTTTTAGATATGCAAAAAAGACATGTGTGTCGTAGAAACATCATTGGTGAACACAAAAGACTTCAAAGCCAAAGTTATTTTTAGTTTGGAGGGTGCTGGTAGGTTTGGTGGCCATCTTTTACGTAGTCTTATTCTCCATTTCATCTTGACCTCTATGCCACTGTACTTTCCTATTCTCCTATAAAAATATCTCTGAGAGAAATAAATTAATTTAGCAAGTTCTTTTTACTTTTATGTCAGCATACCTGAAAGAAAATACAACTATTAGAAACAATTCAGCAGCCAGGCAGGCTAGACTGCTACTTAAGTTTATGATCAACTTGACAATTCAAGGCCAGTCTGGCTGGTTATACATTTGCAGCAATGTTTCTTGTATAGGCTAACATTTTAGACACATCTGTGTTTAATTTTTTAATGCCCTTATTGAAAGTTCAGATGCTAATTCACACAGCCATTAGAATCTTAAATAAGCAAGGGCTAAGAGACTTTGAGAATTTACTATTTTTTTTTTAATCTCTCTTCGGTTTATTGTATTTTTACTGTGTGTATTTATATTTTTCCTTCATAACAGTCCCTACCACAACTGCCAGTCTGAATGGCCAAATTTATTCTCTTAACAATGTGTGGTGTTTTAGACTTCTAAACGCTAACGCATCCTGGCCACAAGGACATCATTTTGTCTGGCTTGCTCCTGGAGTCACTAGTTATTTTAAGCAACAGCTTAAATTGGTGGATAAATATCTGAAGTCTCAGTAACAAACATCAGCCTTCAAAAGTCAAGCGTGCATTACAGTGTCAAACGTGACAGATGTCCCTGTATATTTTCCCCTTCAGCTCTTTTCCCTTGTTGGCTTCTAAAGCATAAACCTCAGAACAACAACTACTGCTAACAGCTAGAGGCAAAAATTCTGTGCAGCTTCTTTCTCAAGAACAACAACAAAAGAGAGCTGTGTTTAACTGACCATTATCTCAAAAGTACTAGAGTTGCTTCAGGGTTCAAAGCTAGATTCTGGTTTCAGGGCACTCCACCAGCAAACTGACTTAGTTTTGCTGCCTGAACTCATTGCCCCATGCTACTCTGTGGGCAGCAGAGCTTCAAGAGAAATCAGCATTTGAAGGAATAATTTACTCGCAGCCATGCTTGTAATCCTCATCTCTCCTTCACCACAGTCTGGGCTGGCTTTGTTATTTTGTCTCCAGTCTTTCCTGTCTCTTCCCTGCAGTCACACATGTCTGTCCCGAAATCTGAAGTCGCCCTGAGAAATGTTACAGAAATGCAAGCCCCAGCAACTCTCCAGTTTGGGCTGGATCTATCTATACAGCAACAAGCAAGCAAGCAAGCAGTTTTTCTGATAACAGTAACTGGAATTGTGTCTCCCAGGGGATTTCCTCTGAAGACGGACAGTTCACTGTAGCGCTGGAGTGAAGTCCTCCCGGTCTGATAATTCCCAGTTTTTCCAAGGGAAGGCTTTGTGGTTTGACTAGGAAGAGGAGCACGCCACAGATCAGGTGCTTTCCTGTAAGTCCTCCTTATACAGAGAGTATAGTGACCTTGTTTTAGTATTAGGCATGAGGCAATAAAAGACAAACATCATCAGGCTATCCCTTCTCTGGCCTTCAATTTATCCTTTGTTTTTAACCTTGATCACACCAGCAAAAGCAAGAGAGGCATGAAAAGTTCAAAAAGACTCAGCTGTCGATCCAGCTGGGTAGGTTGCCTCAGTCAGCATCTCTGCATTCCCCAGAAACTCCTACATGAAGCTTCCAGGCCACAAAGTCTGCACACCAAAAAAAAGCCCTACGGTAACAATATGAAAAGAACTATTTCCTCCCCTCAAACATAATGAAATATAAGGATTGCACTTCTCTTCTGGATCGTGAATGAGCAACAAGGCTATGGATACTAATGAAACACTAAATCTTTATCCAGCTAATAACAATACTAAGAAACAATCTCACAGGTTGTTATTAGAATAGCATATATATTTTTTTACAGTGACAGCATAACTTCCAATCACCGGCTTCTTCAAAAGGGTGTGATGAGCACGAATGAAAATATGCACATACGTACTGCATCAAGGTCCGTTCTTAAATGCATTTAACTAGTATTGAGTATTTCTCCTAGGAAAATTATTTAATAGCAACACATGCTTCTGCATTGTTGAACTGAATATGGATTTTACACCACAAACAGTAAACATAATATTCAAAAGGACACTACTATAGCCTCAAATTCACCATTAGTTTCATCCATCATGTTAGATCACAGTCACTGCACTGTGACTTTCAGACAAACTGAATGTTATTGTCACAGTTCTAAACTCAGAAAATCACTGTAAAACAGGCATGAACTTCTAGTTACATGTTGCATTCCTACCATGATAGTTACCACTGTATAATACACCTTGATCAATGCAACCTGTCATATTCTATTGTCACTTGAGCATGCTCTCTCACTTCAGAGTATTGTCATCCAAAAACTAAGGAAGAGGGCTCAAGACATAAATTACATGAAGAAGCATAAATCTTCTAGGGAGAAATTACAACTTACAAACTGAAACATCTGCTTAAAGTATGAGGTCCCAGAAGTTCTTTCTTTTCTCTCTACAAACTGACAAGTAAGATTGTAGATCAGAACACGTGCTAGATGCTATTTCTGCCATTAAAGTCTTCACACATAACTTCAGTCACCAGAGTATGTCTACTCAAGGTAGAAATCTTTAAGTAAAATCTAACCCATTTCTTTTCTCTACCTATTAGTACCTTCTATATACCTAGCAAATCCTGCACCTTAATAGCTAGTGACCAGTAATTCTTAAATACATGTTTCCCACACTGGGATGGAAAGAAAGGGAAAGGAAAAGGATCAAGATGGCAATACATTTCTTAATGCTTTTCCCCAGTACTGTAAACTCATTTCTACAGTGAAAAATGTTCCTCCATAAAGACAATCATCTTCCATGCACAAAGTGTTACACTGCACATTTACTACACTTGCTTTTTTTTCCAGTTTTGTCTTTTTCCCTCCTCACATTGCCCTGCTTCTGAAGCGAGGCCATTCTTTTTCTTCAGTCTCAAACAGAAATGGATAGGCCAAGGGCACACTGCAACATTATTTTCCAGCACTTTGTAAAAAAAGCTGGAAATTAACTTTTTAATGGGAGAAATTAAACAGTCAGTGATTAGATGACTATGCAGAAGAGACTCCTCCTCTACTAGATGGTAGAAGCATTTGGAATATGTTTTTGAAGTACATCAATACTTTTTGCACATCAATAACATACGTCGATACGTTCTACCAAACGTGGGTCCTGAAAGCAAGTGTGCTCTTCTGTAGTTATGACTTTTGATGTGTTTTCCTTTTATGATTTAACTCAATTAACTCTAATCATTAAACACTATAATAATTACAGACATAGACTGCATGCATTTCTAACTGCTTGTATAATTAATACGATCACTACCTTCAGCTTAGGACAGCCGTTACAGAACACAGCATCCATGCAGGTTTTATCTTAGCATTGCACTTACCTGTGCTGAACAAAAGAAATTGTAGTTGGCCATATAAGGAATTGGTTCTGAATACTAAAAATATTTCAAGTCCCATGTCTAAAAAGTTAGTGAATTTCATATTATTTTCTTCATAGTATCAGTAGATATGAAATATGAATGTTCCTAAAAATGCATCCCATACACAGGGAAATAAATCGAGGATTTTACAAAGTAATTACATAGTTATTTGGGATTTACAGCACTGAAAATGAAGTGAGAACACAGCTCATTACATATGACACTTTGTAGAGTCAAAACAGTAAAATGTTGGAAACTAAAGTTCTTGATCATTTCAGAAAAGAATCATGTGACTGTACCTCTCACCCCACACTCCCTATACTGTTTTTTATTCCTTTGCTTATAAAACAGTGTTAGACTCCTTTCCTACAATCTCTTTGAAAAGGGAGACAGTAAAAATGCATAAGGTAGAGATTTATAAACTGAATTACACCTGCTATTAACACATAAATTCTATTAAAGCAGAGCAGCTGTGTCATGCTTACCTTTGATTTGCCTTTACTGTAACAGGCTCTTTTAGTAGCTTCATCACATTGCCATTCCACTGCCTGCAATCAACAGGAATCAGTTAGAAATGCAGGGAACACAGAAATATAAACCTCAGAGCTATCTAAGACCGTGCTTGAGATATGTGCTTCAGGCATACTGTGATCAGCTGTGGGTGATTCTGTCCAGAATTGCCTTACAAGCTTTTTTCTCCTTAGAACTGTAGTTTTGCTGAGGATGGTTTTTCAGTGTCTTAATCTGAAGTGAAGCTGGCCACCCCATGATTCACTGCACCTACCGCTACAGGAGAAATAACCACAATCACATTTGATGCTATTTAGCCACTTCAGTATAAGTCTCATTAAGGTAAGCAGTTAGGAACACAGAGAAAGGCTGATGGTCTCTCCCCAGCAGAGTTGGGCTGCATCAACACAGCGTCTGAGGTCAGTGCTGCTGAGAGACTTTGTGCCATAGGAAAATGTGCCCTGTTGCTGTTCTTGCAGTATTCATCTCAAGCATCAGACAGATTCTAGTTTCTCAAGGTACGACTGCAGCACTAATCGGAAGGACTAAAACATCCATTCAGAGAAAGGAACAATGGGTAGACACATACCAGACAGCACTGAAATGAAGCACTGTAAAGTAGAAGCAATTTATCCTCCTTTTTGAGCCGTCTCTCTGCTTCAACAGATTTAAGCCAGAACTGTAATGCCCAGTCTGCATTATTGCAGTTTCACTGCATGAGTTAACTCCAATTATTGCCATATTTAAGATTCAACAGCTATGACTTACGAACTCTATTGTTCAGTGGACCGGGTCATATGCTTGGTGTTTATGTCCCAATACACATACATATTCGAATGTCTGTATATGCTGCGTGGTCAGAGTGCATTTTAAACCACTCTGCATTCTTTCATCTCAACAGTGCACATCCATGTGTTCTTCAGATAAAAATGCACTATACGTTTTATCAGGAAGAACTGAGATTTCTAAACTAACCACTGCCGCTTAATTATTGAAACTGCAGCTTTTTCATTTTTATTTACCAGGAAATAATAAAAGACCATTCATTAAAATTTAATATAGGAAATTTTTTGTACCAATCTTTTAACAGTGACTACATTAATAGCAAGTAGTCTCTATAATTAATAAAAATAATAGGCTGAAAGCCTATTTAAACTGAAGGGGAAAATGCTTTCAGAGCAAGCTATGCAGTACTCTTTGATTTGTGTTTCAACAGGCCCAAGAATGGCCTGTTTTTTATTTCAGGGAACAAAAAAAAGACTTATAAAAACTAATGCCATTATGTGTCTCTCCACCTCAAACCTTCTCATTTACAGTGTTTGCTTTTGCAGATGAAGAACTACAGCATATTGGGGGAATATATTGAAAACTTCTGGAAGAATCCACTTGTGAATGACCTCAGCATTTATAATAAACTGTATCTATCAGCATGAAAGAAATCTCATACTGAGTTAGATAAAAAAGCAGCATTGTGTTAGGCAAAAAAGCAGCAACGACTTAACTCTTTTGACTCTGTAATGCAAAATATATTTACATCCATAACAGAGATCACAGTACAAAAGACTGTTCTTGGGTGACCAATGTAAGTTCCTAATCAATCCATTAGGACACCCTGAACATTACATGGTACTAGATACAAGTATCTGATACAGAATATATTCTTTTTAAACAACACAAAACATTTCAAATGCCTGGAAAAATGCAAGAGTTACCAGTAGGAGGTTAGAGAAGGAAGATTTAGTAGAATAGGTGTGCTTGATAGGAAGGTTTGAATGAAAGTTCTTGCCAAAACTGAACTGAGAAGAATATGTCAAGCATGAACAGCAGGAAGTAAGAAGATAGAAAGATTGGATTAACGATAAAATCTTTATCAATAAATCAATTTTCTGTGACAAAACACCCAGCTTTCAATTGGCTCTAAGTGCATGGTAAACAAGTAACTTGAAGGAGAAGGACGTGAAATGCAAAAATTACACTATGTCACAAATCAAGCAGATTAAGTACATTTCTCAGGCACTGAAAGTTTTGGAAAAGAAAATCAGCAGACTTTGGAGGTAGGAAATTCAGAAGCCAAAACTGACAGTTCTTCAAGCTGTCCACAAAATCTGAGAAAAGCATACAATACATCTCTGCAAGCAGGTCATGGTTGGGCAATTTGGGAACTCCAAGCACTTAGTAATACAAGTAAAATTTAAAGTCAGGCAGAAGCTTTATTAACTCTGACCGCAGAGAGAGAACACTGGGACAGTTCCCTCTGCTCCCCTGTTCTCTGCCAAGTGATCAGAGAGACCCTGGCTATATACTGTTTCAGAAAAAAAGAAATGGGAAGAAAAACAATCGTTTCAATGTTAGCAAAGCCAGGTATCCATCCCTGTGAGGGATGGACTCCTTCAGGTGTTTGCTAACTGCCGCACTCCTGAGAAGGAATCAAACAGTAAATAATGTGACAATACAGAGATATGGCTCTTGGTGGAGCCTGTAGGAGTGGCACATCCAGTATTATCTCAGCTCAGAAGTGGTGAGCTGGAAACAATCACAGACTGTTAGCTTTTAGTCAAATGTTCCTTTAGTTAAGATAAACATCTTAGCTAGACCTCTCAAATCTCAAATATCAATAATCTTACCACCACATCACAAAACCACTAATACCATTATTAGTATAACTGAAATTAATCTTTCTTTTCTTTCGTTGACATCCATGAAATATATAGATTTAAACAAACTTATTAAATATTAAATCATTACGTAATATTTCTGGATACCATAGTTAACAGCACATACAAGAACCCAAATAGTATAAAGCACTCTAACTATATATAGGTACATATGCTTGCAAGCTAACCAAATGGCAAACTCTCTAGGAAAACCCTGTTCATGACAATATATGTCAAAGGAGTAATATTATCTGGACAAGAAACCAGTGCAGACACGCTGGTGACAAAGCTAAGTGCAATCTTTGAAATCCAGTGTACTTATAGTGTTATAGCCCGGGGTTCCACTGCTGGAGGAGAAAAAAACAGAGCAGGCTGCACCTGAAAAAAAAAAGAAGAGAGCTGAGTAGATCACACTGTTGCACTTCGGTCCCTAAGGCTCCTGCATAGTTCACTAATGCCTGCATGTGTCCTATTGCTGATTAAATGAAAAGACCACGTATAGACAAACATTTCTATATATAGCTCATTTTTTTCTTCTAATCTTCTAGAAATTTGGGGGAGTTTCCTACAACATGGAAATTCAGATATTCAGCTTAGCCTACTGGTAATGTACAGGGGGAAGAAAGGTAGAAAATTCCCCAAGTGAAATGTCATTTCAATGTGGACAAAGAGGAGAAATATGTGTCCTGAATCTTCAGCACACACAGACAAAAGAAAAAGTCCCAACAGAATAACAACAGTGTGTTTTTTGTCCATAGAAGATTATGACTTTGAAGTTCTAATTCTGAAAGACCAGACGGACACATAATGGATTGTGTTATTTTAGAAAGAAAGTGCAAAACCAGGTTTACTTGGAGATGTCACTGTTATCCACTGCTTGCGTTAAACTGACATCTTCTCCTGCTTTATACCATTTGCTGACATTTCCATGAAGTTCAGATGAGCAGTGCAAATATGATATGCATACGACGTTGGATATTTGATTCACTATGAAGGACTACACAGCTAAAGCTTATCCTGTTAGGATCTTTTCTTTCCTACATTTCTTTAATAAGAAGCTCCAATTTTCACACAGCAAAATACAACCTTCAGCATTTGGTGTCCTGTTTTTAATTAATATTATAATTCTACTTAAGCTGGCAACAAAATTCATTGAACCAAATTATAGATACTAAAGTTGTTCACTCTGGGGAAAGAGGAAACAGGGATTTGAACGCCAGTGCTAGCGAAAATAAGGATGGGCAGACATCAGCTATTGCTTCTACGCACCTCCACAAAGAACATAGCTGAAGAGGTTAATGAGTAGGGTTTAAGGTAGCACATCAGCCTGTTTGTGATAGCAAGTTGACACTATGTACAGCGGCACGGCTTTTACAAATCCTGCTATCAATATGGTCTTTCACACACCTCTATAAAGTTAATGGTTGGCTTAGTTTGTTTCTAATTTCCCAATCTTCAGCATAACTACATTCTAGTAGACATAAATAAACCTTAATTGTGTAACAGTCACCAGCAGAGCAGTGTAAAATGTATGGGGTAAGATTTTCAGCCCTTTGAAAGTCAGTGTGGCCAACTCTAAAGACTGAACTCGACAGGTACAACGTGAACTTGAACCAGTGTACTCCGATGAGGAAGCCACTGTCCACTTTTGAATACATACCGTTTTCTTCAACTAAAAAAGAAAAATGAACAAACAACAAAGCTCCATACAGATCTGACACAAAATCAGACTGAACGGAAACACGGCTTTGGTGCACGCTGAACTCAAAGTTTCAAACTGATGGCAGGCACCTTTTCGTAAAAGCTCAATTGTAAATAACTATCTGTGTTTTAAACATTACATCACTGATGTTTGTAAAGTGGGTCAAAAACCTCAGATAAAATCTCTCCTAGCATTTTCAAGGGGTAGTGGGAGGAGAGAAATTCCAGCCAAAAAAGAAACAAATTCCAACTCAAGCTACATAATGAAACCATTATCTTCAAAATGAAGAAAAATATACATCCAACATCCATCTATGTTAAGTTAAAACTTGCAGTATTAAAATGAATCTTATTCTTTGGAATAACAAATACATTTCAGTAACTTGTCTGTCTGGATGAACAATAAGAGTTTTGCTTAAAAGTTAAACTACTGTATCTTCAGCTTTCCAACTCAAGCTACATAATGAAACCATTATCTTCAAAATGAAGAAAAATATACATCCAACATCCATCTATGTTAAGTTAAAACTTGCAGTATTAAAATGAATCTTATTCTTTGGAATAACAAATACATTTCAGTAACTTGTCTGTCTGGATGAACAATAAGAGTTTTGCTTAAAAGTTAAACTACTGTATCTTCAGCTGGCAACATAAAAAAATGCAAAGAAATTAACTGCAAAGGA